AGAAACCAAGGAAAGCAACATCATTTGTTTCTCAATCTCACTTTTGACTTTTTAATAAAAAAACACTTGATGTAAGATCAATTAGGTTGCTTGGTTTTACAATCTATTATTCCTATTTCCTCTTTGTAAATTTATCGTCATTTCATTAAAAAAGGTTTCTATATATTGGAAAAACACAAGTTGTTCATACCTACCAAGACTTTTTTCTTGCATTTGTAATATAAATTTTTACAAAAATAATACTTTATAAGCAACATGATTTAATTATAATCGCACCCATAAAAAATCTTAATGAATAGACAACTTGATAAGATTGCATGCTTCTTTTTCACATTGTTGTATGAAAAGGCTATCGTTGGAGAGGACAATGAACAAGCTAGCAGTAGAAGGCCCGATACTCCTGGTAAATACAATGTATTTGGAGATGACAATGAACAAGCTAGCACACTTGGATATTTAAGGAAAAAATAATGTTATAAAAGAAGTAGGCCAAAATTAGGAAAATATACAACATTATCAATCTTAAATCTAAATTGAGTTATGATTATTTGTGGGGCAACAAGTCAATCTGGTTTAATTTAATACATGTATAATAGACTAATCATGTTTCATCTATTTATACATAGTGTGTAAGAGTGCATTAGTCAATAAAACAATATTTTCTACTTATTTATATTGCATGTAAATAATTATGTTTGTCTAAATAAGAGGTGATAATCGGTGCGATTTATGATTTTTTAAAGCTTTTTATGGGTTTGTAATTTTTTGGTTGCTAACCAAAAACCCAAATTATAATTCAATTGGTTTGGTTTGAAAACCGAATATTGATCAAATTTTAAGGCTAAAAATAAAATTCAAAATTTAAATTTTTTAATATAAAATCTGAAATTTCATATATAAATTCTACGGATTCAAAACTCAAATATAAAGATTCAAAAGAAACAAAGCAAAACATTTTTTCAAGACTAACCTTTAAAAGAACGACAAAAAGGAAGCGATGTGTACAATGAGTTGTAGCAAAGGAAAGTATTCTCCAAGGTACCCACACTTGTTATGTGAATTGATGATATGATATAATTGCATGTTAGTTATAGGCTAAGGATCTTCAGGAATTGTATGATAGAATTATGTGATTTATGATGCATGATAGCCTAGGAGAATTTATTGATATACTATATGGAACTATCATTATTATTGTGTTGCTTAGTGTATGCATCATAGTTGTACATAACTAAGATTGTATAGTCTAATAATGTTTTATTTATCCTTATTTATGTTCCTTGTATGGTTGTGGTCTTAGGGTAGAATCAAGTATTCGTGTGTCTATCGAATCCAATGTTATGGCTGATTAGCATTCACGAGCGATTACAAGGTTAGTGAAAGTTTCATGTGTGAGTGTGGTTTGAAGAAAAACAACATAAGGAATGATAAGACACTATCGAGAGAGTGAGTATAGGATGTATGCGTGTCCTAGTATTGGGCTTTAGGGCGGATGGTCTATGATGATCCCTTAAAACAATTTTGGGTAGGCGTGGAAGTTAGTATAGGCATGTACTACTGGAAGTATAGGACCCGTACGTATATCAAGGAAGTCACAAATCCCGAGGGGTTAGTAGTTCCGTGATGATATAGTAGTTTGGATTATGAATCTTTTTTCTGATGTTTTCCCGGTTTATTTTCAGTATGCTGATCACTAAGGGTTCAGGATCAGGAGCTAGCGGTCAGACGATGCTAGGATTGACCAATGATGAGATTCGTGAGATAATCACCACTCAGGTGACCATGGTTGTTAGGGAGGCGATCCCGAAGATGTTTGGGTCTGTCAAGACTGCGATGATTGAGAATAGGGGTGAGCAAAAACCGAACCGCAAACCAAAAAAACCGAAAAAACCGCATAAACCGAAAATACTTGGTGCGGTGCGGTTTCTAGTCTCGCAAAAACCGCAAAAAACCGAACCGCACCGCATATATATATATATATATATATATATATATATATATATATATATATATATATATATCGGAGGATGACTTTATATTTTTAAGCATACATTCAATGGTATTTATAATAACAAATAATGTTTATGACATTTTTTTAACATTTAAATATGAATAGTACTAGTGATATAGTATCATTTTTAAGAATACATTAATTGATATTATCCTATGTACTTGTGAAACAAATATTATATTAAATTCGTATTATATTAAAGCATTAGAAACATGTTGAATGAGTAGTTATGTAATTTGATTTCGAACCAAAAGGTGGTGGTATCGGTTTATATCCAATAAAAAATTAGCACTCTGCATCTGAGTCAAAATAACTCGTTGAGTTACTTGAGTTTTAATAAAAAGACAAAACGAAAAAAAAAAACTAATAAAAACCACAAAAAAAAAAAAAAAAAAACGAACCGCAAAAAACCGCAATAAAAAAACCACAAAAACCGAACCGCATAAAACCAAACGGTGCAGTTTCTAAATTTTAAAAAACCGAAGTTGCGGTTTTCGGTTCGGTTTTGACCAAAAACCGCATCGAACCGCACCATGCTCACCCCTAATTGAGAATGATGGAGGCATAATCGGTTACGATCTCTATCGGAAAATAAGGATGCGAAAAGTTATTGTTTAGTTACGACTGACTGCGATCAGTTATAGTGGCTCATAACAGAAAGTGACTGCAAATGGTTATTGTTCAATTGTGATTCACTACAATCAATCATATCGAGTCGTAATAGGTAAATATTCTCTGTTTATAGCTTTATCTTTTATTGTTTAACTGCGACTAGCTGTGATCGATCACAACGAGTTGTATTCTATTTTCTCTTTTATAAAAATTTTCAAAAAACCAAAAATGTTTTCTCTTTTATAAAAGTTTTCTAAAATCCAAAAATATTCTCTTTTATAAAAAATTTCAAAAATCCAAAAATATTTTTTCTTTTATAAAATTTTTCAAAAATCCAAAAGCACTTGTATTTCTTTCAATTTTTCTAAGATCAAAATTTTTGTGACCACTTGTTGTTAGTGCCTACCACATCGGGATTCAGGAGGATCGGGTATTTTTGTTTCCAAATTTGAATAGTTAGGTGTCTTTAGAAACATGTTGCCTGAAGCCTCATTGATTCTTAGGTTATGAAGCTTTAATGAAAAAAAAATCTTCTAAGGATTTCTTCCCATTAGACTAAATTACCAAAAGTCACCGAGCTACCTTTCTCTACTCATTTTGGAGTTTAGAGATGTATGCTTGGTCCTTATTTTACAACAGATGTACTATGATTCTTTACCCAATCTTGGAAACTGATGATGTCTTGGATATATACAAATCCAAGCATAGGGTTCCTTTATAAACCAAACATGATTTTTGATTACCCTTGACATTCTGAGTCAATACCAACTTGGAGTAAGGTATTTCAAAAATTATTTTTATGATCAATTTCATTGTCACCGGGAGATTATGAGAAACTCGATTCTATCTTCTTATCTCATATTTTTTACACTTTGCACACATAATGATACATATCCCAAGACATGATTCTAGTAAATACCTACTAGAATTGAGGTGTGCCAAAAATATGTGTTTATGATCTTATCATTATAATCACCATGAGGAGAGTGACTCACCAAACAATGCATTATAAGGAATTAACGGGGAATAATTTATTGCTCTAGTTTTTCACTCATGGATTTACGGAACTTCCTAATGTTCAAAATCTCACAATTTTTCATGATGTGAAACCTTAATGAAATTGATTGATTCCGGATCATTTCTACCCAAATAGGTTCATTTTTTTTCTTCTAAATTACAAGATTTCCGTCTGAACATTCATTTCTACCTTATCACTTAAATATTAATCGAAGCCTATGATTACTTGAATTTGATTACACCGATCAATCAAGTGTTTTATTTCGTATCACTACACTTATTTTGAGTTGCAAATATGATTGGAGATGATCCTACCCATTTAACCTTATGAAATGAAGCCCTTCGTAAATTCTTAACAAGTTGACGACTATAATTCAATGGGAAACCATACAAGCACTTCTTAGTCTCTCTTGACTATGAAGGAAGATAATCTTTACCTGATATCATATTGCTTTCATATCAAATAAATTTTGATATCACAAGATTTTCAAAAAAATAATAATTTGATTCTATCTTATTCTTTGGAACACTTTTACGTTAGAATCCTTGAGGTTATGAGTAAAACCAACTTATGCCAAGATTCTACCAAGTCTAGTTAAAGATTCTAGTCATTCTTCCCGTGATTAGATGAAACTCTTCTTTAGCCTTGATATATTTGGAGATATTGTAACATTAGTAGTAATTCCAATGGATTCTATTTCAATTTTTAGAAATTTGAAGTGTAGACTCAGTCGTTACGTACGAAACAACTACAATTTTTAGAAATTTGAAGTGGGATGAGATGTGTTGGTGGTTTATATTTCCTAATTTACTGGTCATTCGAAATTCAAAGTCGACACTTGGTTTCTCTTAACTATAAATACTTCATTCAAACCACACTAAAGCTCTTTACACTTTTAGACGATTCACAAGCTTTAGCAGAAAATTTTCTCTCTTATTTTCTTAATCAATAACGTGTTTGTCTGAATCACTAGTTGAGTCTTCTAGTGATCATCTATCTTTCATGGATCAATCTATATCATCAACACATTTGGTGGTGAAAGTTAATCAAAATTTGATTTTGGATGTTGATGAATGAAAGTATCTTACTATTGTTAAACTGATGAGTGTGTGTTTAAAGAATTCATTTATGAGGAAATCCCTAACATCCTATTCATAGGTTCCAATATATGCTCTTATACTTGCTTATACTTCTACAAATTACAATGTTGTGCTCGATGTTATGAACTTTGAGGTTCAAGGTCATAACACTCAGATCTCTAAATCATCGTTTTGCAAGTTATTAGGGTTACGTTTTGGTGAAGAATATTCAAATCTAGAATTGGTTAATTTTGTTTCGATTATCAAATCTTATCATCAAATGGGATATAAGGATGATGTGATCATGCTCTCTAAGTTTAAAAGGTCACTATTACCACCTGTATGGAATGCCCTATTTACCATTCTGTTTTGTTGTCTTTCTGAGAAGATTACTAGTTCAGACAATGCAAACAAAGTGTTTCATACTTTGCTTTATGCATTCTATTCTGGTGAGAAGATTGACATTGGTCAAATTATATGGGTTCAATTTACCCAAAGTATTTCATCTTCAACTAATAATACTAATATCTCCTCTGTGATATTTTGGTCTATTGTGGTACGCAACGCTTGTGATCACTTCAAGGTTCCTACCATGGCTAATGTTCATATGGCCAATTTTGTTGTGATAAATACTACCACGTTATGATCTCCTAATGTGAAATATTTTCATCATATTGGAGAAATTCCAGAAGTAATGCTCAAGGAGGTTCCAACAGAGAATGAGGTTGTTTCGATATACATGAAAAATCCCAAACCTAGTGCGAGATTTATTTCTCCATCGATGCAAGCCACTTTGGAGTCCACAGTTGCGAACTGGCGGTAAATGAAAAGGAAAAGCTGTTGAGGAAATCGTTTCTGATAAACCTTCTAAGAGAAAAAAAAGTGAAAGAAGAAACAAGTGTTTATTATTAATGAGGATGATGAGTTTACAATTAGTGATAATCAGAATGATGATAATATAGTGATTAAAGATACGAGTAAGCCTTTTGATGTGCATTCTCAAGTGAATACTTCTATTCTGACTACGACTACGACTCCTATTCAAACTGAGGATCTGATTCTTGTTCAAGCCGACGAGGTGGTTTATCACAACATTATGCAAGAACCCATTATCAATCTTTCTCAATCGCAGTCTCAGTCACCAACTGTTCCAACTTTCCTTCCTACTACCACTATTACACAAATTCCAACATCAATACATACTCTATCTACAACTGTTCCGATTTCAACCATTATTTACACTCCACCTGTCTCATCCATTGCAACTTTAATTCCATTGCCTCCACCCGTCTCATCCATTGCAACTTTAATTCCATTACCTCCACCAATCTTCGCCCAATCAATAACCATTACCACTACTTCTAGTACTACAATACCTCATTCACCTTTAATTTAGAATGAAGAGCATGAATATGAAGATAATGATGATTTTCTTGTTCCTGATGATGATGATGTTCAGGAAATTGGATATTTTCAAACTTTTGTTGAACCAGCTCTAGTTGCTTCCTTGCTAGATGATGAAAGTGATCTCGATGATGAAACTGCCGCAACTTCTGTCTCAAGAAAAGACTATCAAATATTGAATTGTAAGCTAATGCTTTGGTTACTATGGACGATTCTTTCTCTCCTACAAAGTTTCAGAATATGATGATCACTCATGAGAGCACTTTAAAAATGATTCTTAGTGAAAGTAAATGGTTGTTTGATGCTCAATCAAACTGATTGAATATGAGACTACAAAATTTCAATCTGCTCTTACTACATCTCATGAAGCCTTATCCAACGTTGATTCTATTGTGAATTAAGTAAAGGAACTTAAGACTTCTATTATCGCAACCAATACTCAACATAATCAAGATGTTATTAACTCTATTAAAACTCTTGTTTCGCATTATGATTATGAAACCAATTTGGCTGACAAGTTGACTGTGAAGGAATTAAAGCTTCGTTCTTTGAAATTGGAATTAAAGCAAACCAAGAAGGAGTTTGAGAAGGTATAAGAATATATGGTATTGATCAAATAAAGAAACTTTGAGATTAATCAAAGGCATGTTCAAATTATGGAAAATAATGGTGCTCCTTATGTTGATTATCTATCATAGCTATTGGATGCGAAAGTGGCTCCATTTCTATCTACAATAAAAAATGGTGTTGCGTGCAACAATACTCCTTCACAACAAGGGGGAGATGAGATAGAAAATGTTATTTTGACAAAACCAACTGAGAATATTAAAACCGAACCCATTCGTATCAAAAGTCCATATGTTGTTCCAAAATTGATCAAGGGTTCTAATGCATCAAAGGTTCAAATTGTTCATAGATCAATGAAAAGGAAAATGGATGATCGTGTGTTTGATAAACATAATCTAACATCCCAAAATCCATGACCAAAAATTTAATTTTAAAACAAGTAATTATAAAAACCAGTAGTCTGAAACATCATTAGTTCCAATCCATATCAAAATCGGTATGTTAATTGACTAAAACATGTCATAGAAAATATTATCAGAGTACAACTCCTAAAGATCTCATATGCAGAGAATCATAGTGTGATGCGCTGTGATCAGACTGACTCCTTTCCATTAGAAGAATAAGTCCCTGAAACCAAAACCGAAAGTTGTAAGCCCGAAGCTTAGTGATTTCCCCCATCATACCACATAATCACATATTGCCAGCCATATATGGGTGCCTGGCCTATCTTATGAAGCATATATGGGTTCTCGACCTACCCTGTTAGGTATATATGGGTGCCCTACCTACCCTCCGGTTTATTTCAACCGGTTACGGGGACTATTTAACTCCTACCACTACCACATAATAATATAACATAAACATACTGTCAGGCATATCTGGGTGCCCGACCTACCTTTCAGTGTATTCCAATCGGTTACGGGGTCTATTTCACCCCTACCACTACCACACAATAACATAACAATAAGAACATAAATCATAACAGGTAGTGACATACATGGAAATTATCACAAATACAATCATCTCTACTGTAAACAACTGCTAGTGAGCCGACATTGGTGCCTTCGACCCACTCATACATTGAAGGTAACACGCCTCACACTGCTGAAGTGCACTGCAAGAAATCCTTAGTTGTTGTCCTGGTAACTCCTCGAGCTATCATTACCAAAATATCAACCAATTAGCAATTGGGTCCCAAACCATGATCCATAATCCATACTTGGGGTGAAATAATTGTTTCACCCCTGGCCCAACAAGATTCACAACCAAAGCCCAAAACTATCAAATCCATAAAACCCATCAATACCCTAATTTTCCAAATTGGGCCTAAACCCTTACATATGCCTTTCCCTAAAGCCCATTTACTTTTCTAAACCAATGATTTTCCAATGGCCCAAAGGTACAAGCCCATGAGGCCCAATTAAGGCCTAACTACATTGGGCCTACTAAGGCCCAATTCATCATCCAAGGCCCATTAGGACAAGCCTAACAAGGCAAGCCCAACTAGAAGTCCATTACTCAAAAATCCTTAGTTCATTACGAGCCCAAACCAAAGGATAAGTCCAATACCAAGCTAGTCAACAGTTAAAGAGTTTAAAACTTGCATAGGTGATGCTCACGTTGTGAGCACCTTATGCTCACATCGTGAGGTCGTGAATTTGGCCCAGAAACTTCCTTGAACACGCTCTCACATTGTGAGGCTTCATTCCTGATGTCGTGAATCTAGATCTGACCAAAAATGAGCATTAAGCTCCTAATCCATTAAGCTTTAACATGGGACAGTCTAGAAGGTCTTCCTTGACCCCAAGGACCATAAAAATCGAAGCTTTTCAGTCACGTATGTCCAATACATGACTTAAACACCTACTTATGTCAAAATGAAGGAAAAAGGTCCACGAATCAAATTTGGAGTCCAAAACCATGACCAAAATCCAGATTTGAGACGTATAAGACTTAAGCTACCACCATGATCCATAAAATTGCCAACTTTATGGATCCGATGCATGCTAGCCAATAATACAAGTCATAAATTGCATGGAAACTTAGATCTAATAAGCAAGGAATGGAAAGTCATGAGCTTGAGTGCGTAAAAAGGTCCAAAAGCTCCGCAACTAGCTGATGATGAAGCTAAGATGCCAACAAATGCACCACAATGATCTCCTTCTTCCTTAATGAGCTTCAAAGACCCCAAAAACTCATGAATAACACCAAGAATGATTAAGGACTTCAATGAGGGCTGGGATTAGGGTATCCATAGGTCTTCGGAGTGAAAGAGGCTAAGGAGAAGCAACCTTAATCATCTCATACCTTTAAATACCCAAAAATTAGGGTTTTGGAGCATCAGGCGCTCCTCATGTCGTGAGCACTTCATGCTCATGTCGTGAGCCTTAAATGGGCTTGATCAACAAGTCAACGATCACTCACCCGTACTACTGCAACTTCAAACGGCCATGACTTCTTCATTCCAACTCCATTTTTGACGTTCTTTATATCCACGGAAAGGTGGCAAGAAGCTCTACACATCTATCAACTTATCCTCACCTCAAAACCTTCCGAATGAAAATCCAGAATTCATTAAGAGCTCGAACTGCCACTTTACCGATATACCCCTTGTCTCCAAGGCACAACCCAAACTCCCGGATCACATCAATTAAAATTATCCGTACCTAAATGGGTCTAGATCTCTCTTTTCCAAAGGTTCTAAGCCTTATGATGACCTATCCTCAGGCCACAGTCCCGAATTAGGAAAGTGATTCGGGAAAGGGTGTTACACATAAATTTTCAATAGATGGTGTGGGACTAGTTAAGGAGTGAATGAAGAACAAATGAAAAAGGATGAAGAGATTGTGAAGATGTGACAAATGCAGATTAAGCTAGATAGAATCAATGCCGAAAAGAGTGATAAAGAATAAATAGATGTTACTCTAAGACTTTTGTGACCTAAGTAGGATACGCAAAGAATGCAAGATGTTGTAATTAAGAAGGTTGCGAAATATTAGCTTGAACCAAACTCATTAGATGTTGTTTGAGAACACTGTAGAATGCCAATTGGACTTACCAATGTGTGGAAAAGTATTTTGTTTAAAAGTTTCAATCATATGGCCATACTTCCTTTGTACAAAAATGTTTCCAACAAGAATCTTTTCTCTTTTTATCTCAGTAACTCTTAACCTCGGTATGAAGTCTATTCGTTGAAGCGGATCATGATAGTTAAAAAGATTGAAGAAGTTAAGATTGATGAATTTCCCAACTATAGATTCACAATCTTAAGGAGTGAAAACAAAGATCGATATGTGGATACTCTTGCTGATCTCCATTTCATGAATTCTCATGATTGGATCATAATTTATGGAATTATGAAGAAGCATCAATCAAAATTTGGTTCACAACTTTTGCACATTATTCATAGGATCTGAAATTATTGAATGGAAGCGAGCACGATGGATGTTGAGGTGTCGAAGAGTATGAAGACAAAAATCCACTGTGAAACCTCAAGATAAACTTGAAGGATTAGAAGAATTAACAAAAGGACTCATTCAAAAAGAGCCTTGGATAATTGTTTACAAGGTACTTGAAGAAGCAAAAGTGTAAAACAAGCATCTGTACATGGATGACAAACATTGTTACAGTTCTGATTGCTTGAATACTGTCCTGTTAAGAGCTGAGATGTGTAAAGCAAATACCAAAGAAGACTTTAAGTGGGTATCGGAAGTAATTAGATGGTGGATCTGAGTGATAATTGTTCTTATGGTAGTTGCAAGAGGAGTGATTGAAGAACAAAAGTGAAGTCACATTTCGCAACTTAATACAAAGAGGGAGATTCATAGGATCGTACTTTAATGTGTCACATTTGAGTTTTTATAGCAAAATGTATTTCATAACAATATTGTATTTTGTGTTGATGTGATTGTAACTATATTGATTTACCTGGAGTTGTAGTTGTTAGTTTGTTATAATTGACAGTTGCAATTTGTCTAGGTGTCCTGATGTAACGCTTGAATCTCGGTAACTTCCTCTTTTGACCTTTTATATTCAAATTGTCCCATTTTTTGACCCTTGAGTTGTACGCGAGGCGTAAAACAAGGTACGCTTGGCGTACAAGTGATGAAGTGAGTACACGGGGCGTACTTAGTGGTATGCTTAGCGTACTCATGCGAGGGTGTGATCGGGGTCCCGAATGCATACGCGGGGTATACGTAATAATTAATGAAAACTCTAATTTTAGGGGTTAGCCACTATATAAGAATCCTTATGGACTTGAAACCCTCATTTCACCCGCCTCCTTGTCCCCTTTACCCTACATTCGAACCCTAATCCCATCTTGTGTGATTTTGGAGCCTAGAAGGACATTTGGAAGAGTATTTTGGTGATTTGAAGGAATGTGTCCATCCTTGAAGCTTCATTGAAGGAGTGAACGCTTATAGA